GATACTGTCTACGTAAAAGCGCATACCGGAAAGGTGCTGCGAAAAATAAAATAAAAATATAAAAAATCTTAGAAAAATGAGTAGGTTCAGAATCCTAAGTTTGAGATTAAAATGCTAAGTGTAGCTATTAGCGCTAATACAATGCGATTAAGACTTAAGTGACTTATATAAGACCTTGGCACATGATCCTAGGTCATTTTGTGCCTTGCTACGTGGGAATTTCTGAGGAGTGGAGTCAGCCACCTTGCCATTATCTTCTACCTCTATTGAAGCTCCAAGTGAGCACCTTTCTTCTTCTTCCTTCACCTAAAACACCTTGGGTGAGTGTGGACCATCCTTGTGAGTGAGAAAGGAGCACTATTTATGAGTGTTGGTGGCTGTTTTGTGTGAGTGTAGGGGCTGAGTTCTTGGGTTGTAGTGTTGGAGCCTTTGTCTTGGTTGTTGAAGCTCCAAGTGCTAACCTTTGTGAAGAAAAACCAAGTCTTGTGTGCCATTTTCGTGCACCCTTGTGTTCGCACCTTGAAGCTGACTTGAGAGCTTCAAGAGCACCTCCGCTCTGTTTTAAGCTTGGGTAAGCTTCACAACCTTGATCATGAGTTTCCTTAGTTAAAAATGAAGCCTTGATGTATGTAATAAGCTAAAGTTCATAACTTAAGGTTGGGTACAGTGTTTAAAAACCCGGCCCGACCATCGACCCGACCAAGGTCAGGGGTCATGGGGTCACGGGTTCAACCGGGGAGTCACGGGGTCACTACGCTGACCCGGTTTTATATATTAAAAAAGGGTTCGCTTTTTCTGCAGTTACTGCAGATAAGTTATCTGCAGTAAGTCAATACGACGTCGTTTTGGGACGGAAATCATGGTGTTTTTGTAATTTTAATTTATTTTAGGGTTACAATAGTCTTTATATTTATAATTTTTTAAGATTTCAATTAAAAAAATTCTAAATATATATATCCTATATGAAAATATTAAAAAATAAACCACCAATCATCAAAGATTCAAAATATACTTAACATAATTCACCAATTACAACAACAAGTTAATGGGATCACTACGCTGATCCAGTTCTGCCTCTTTTGAGAAGGTCTCTAACAAAGAAAAATTTAAAGGAAGTAAGAATGAGTTTTTGTTTTTCATCTACGACCATAAAGATTTCATTTGAATGGGTAAATTTTTACCTTTTCTAGAAGATTTATGGCAGCAAGGTGAAGATTGAAGACGTCTAGGTCGTTGGGAGAGAATAGAACGATAAGATTTAGGTTTGCAAGCATTTTTATTTTATTTTTTTTAATAAAATGATGTTGTTTCACAGAAATTTCTTTAAAAAAAAAAAGAAAACATGCAATGACCCTCTTCGACCCCTCTGACCCGGGAGTCACTGAAACCCGGCTGGGTTTTGGGGGTCAGAGGGGTCAATGTGCATATAGGGTCCAACTTGTGACCCCAACCCTCAGAGGGGAGGGGTCAGGGTTGACCCGGGTCAACCGGGGGGTGGGGTGGGGTTTTAAAACACTGGTTGGGTAAGGTTAAACACACCTAAAAATGCATGTTTAAGCTTCTGCAATCGCTAAAACAGCAACCTTTGGGAAGGATATCTTACGAAATGCAGAACTGCATTCTGTCGCGAAATATCCGGATATGATATCCGGATATTGATATCCGAATATGATATTCGGATATTGGTATCCGGATATGGGGTCTTGCGATATCCGAATATGATATCCGGATATGATATCCGGATATTACCCCAACAAATATCCAGATATTCTGAGAAGTTCGAGACAGTAACGATACTGTTCATACAGAATGGCATGTTGGGTTTGTGGACCCATGAATGGTGAATGTGGACTTCTGTAATAACTAATCTAAGTCAGAATCTAAGGGATTAAGGGCTTATGGTTTTGTGAGAAGCCTAAAGACATGAAATGTAAAAGGAAAGACGTTGTCTTTATGTCATATGCTTGTAGAGTATGATTATTGATATGATTATTGGTCCATACAGATTGTGATTGAGCTGCTTGTGGGCTTTGAGCTAGTGTGGGCTCTTGGTTGGACTCTTGGCTTGGATAGTTAGCTTGCAAGGTAAGCTTTCGAGTCCTCGGTTTTACCCATGTTTGGCTCCACCGTACTCCAAGGGGGGATGGTTTATATGCATGATGTTGTTTTCATGTATTGAATTGTTGAAATGCTATTGAGCTGTTATGTGCGAGTGCCTTATGATATGCATGTGGTGTTTCACCTATACGGTAAGCCTGAGTATGTGGGGACATACAAGATGGTGAGGCTGTGGGTGAGGTGCAAGCGGTGTTCCTTGTACTAATTGTGGGTTGTAGACGTACATACATCCTGTATTTCTCTGGCCAGTAGAATAGTTGACACACATGGCATGATTATCTGCTGCACTGCATTGATTTTAGAACTTATATTGTTAAACTGTTTTTAGAACTTATATTGCACATGTAAGTGAGCTAGGGGTGGAAGATCCTTGAGGACCCCTTGTCTTACTGAGATTTCTGTTTAGAGATCTCACCCCACGTTTGGGGCACCATTTTTAGGTTCAGGTAACTCGGGGGTTGAGACCTCGGGCGGTAGGAGGCCGGAGCTTAGTTGATTGATGTTTACCTGCTTATGCTGATTATGCTTGGATGCTGGATTATGTCTGTTGCTATTATGCTATTAGCTTCATTTTATGGATTATTAAGCTGAGACTCTGTTGATTATGTTGTCTTATTTGGTGAGCATAGGGATTGTCCATGCCACATTTGATCATGTACCGTTTGCTTAGACTTGAGTTGTATAAACTATCAGAATATTCTTCGGACTATGTGTTGTAGATCCGTGAGTAGATACACATCTATATTATGAGATATTTCAGTTAGTTGTTGATTTGCAATTTACATACAGGCAATGTTTAGAAAATGAATTAAGTAATTCAACTTGGTAATGATAATGACGTCATAATTGAAAAGAAAAAGATATTTCGCATTTTTAATTAAGTGTGGCTTAATACGATGACATGTTAACAAACCGGGTATACACAGGGTGTTACATTTTCCATAAGTTGAACGAAATCCTAAAGTTTCTTCGTCAACCCATTCTAAACCCGCCATAGTAGAAGGGAGCGCAAAGCGAGAGGCGGGAAGCGAATGATAGGGGCGATTCCTCGGCATGTGCCTGGACGGAAAGGCACCATTAAAATCTAATTCAGTAAAGGAATTAATAGTTAATATGTTAGTGGGAGATGGTTGTGGGCGTAAAATTACCCTAATCCGTCCGGAACCTGAAAAAGGGAGGGTATGAGCTCTAAAAGGAGTAAAACTACGGTGATAAGTGAAATAACTTTCAGGCAAAGAGGATATGGGTGAATCTAAAAGGTTTCTCTTTGAGGGGACAATAGAGAAAATGTCAAGAGGTTTCATAATAACAAGAAGAAAAACAATAGTTATAAATGCATGGAAGATAGATAGAAAAATAAATATACAAGGAAGGCAACAAATAAAGATGATAAAGAAATAGATCAAGCACAAAGAAAGAGAACAAGAAAAATAGTAAACTTACTTGTTGAAGAGTTCGACGAAGATGGCGAACAGAAACAACAACTTGGCAGCAAAGCCAACAAGAGAGCAAAGAAAACGTAGAACAGGGAAGAACAAAGGAAGAGTAATGAGGCAGAAGAAGAGGGATTTTGACAAGCGGAAGAAAATAAAGCTTGACAACAGAAGTTATGTAGAAGATGAAAAGAAACCCAAAGGACAACTGGTATTCTGAATTTCGAAGTTAAATGATTGACAAATATCAATTGCGCCGTTTGAGAAAACCGATACCAGTAAGAAGAGAACACGTGGCATGAGTAAGATGAATAGACATGAAACGTTTAATGATAGGACTAATAAAGTAAAGATAATAAATATTATGTAAAGATAGCCTATATTATTAACTCGGAGTAGAGTAGACATCATACTCTGAGCTGGGGGGCTTAATGTTCCGGGTTAGTCACTTAAGTTTAGGACAATTTGAGTAAAATATGTATCCGAGTTAGGATATCGTGTTAAGGTGCAATAATCAACCTCATAACCCGGACAAGGAACTAGGTACAAGTGTAAGACCCCAATGTTAGTGGCCTTAATGGGCCCTACCACGATAATGATAGTGGATCTCTAATAACTGCCCACTCTCACAAATAACCGTCTGATAGCGTATCTATATAAAAGCCCCATACACAAGGGACAGACCAGAGATACAGAATAACCATTAATGTTCGTCCAGAACAAAACCTAATTACTTGGTTTTTGGGATAATGGATGGGTTACTAATTCTCATTGACAAATTCATACTAAAAGCCTCACATATTCGAATACACAAAAAAATAAAATAAATAGGCATAAAACAAAGAGGAGGGATATTCTTACTATCAAAAATTTTCACTACCAACTTACTACCTATCTAATCACTATTAGATTAACATTTTCTCTCTTCAAAATTTTTTTAACATTTTCTCTCTTTGATCCAATGGTGATGTGATGGGTAGTAAGTTAGTAGTAAGAATTTTTGGTAATTAGAATATCCTCACTCTAAAACAAAAAGGATAGCATAAATTCTACAAAAGTGTTTTCATCATGTGAACAGCCACAGACTGAAGTTGCCAGAATCAGGAGTAAAACCTATAATGAAAAGTAACACCATTAGTTTTTCACATTATGAATACATGAAAATTGCTCGGCTAGCTACGCAAGTGTATGGGAAAAATAAAGAACATTGCTTTATTTGCATGAGAAGTTATACTTCCACTCACCGAGGGAAGGGGAAAAACCCAATTGCATTAACAAACCAATGTACACAAAAAGGAATAGTCTCTTCAACAAGAAAACCGCGTAGGACTCCATTTATATACACATCCAAACCAATGACCCAGATAGGATCCTATCCAAAGCGTTAAACACATTTTATTCATTGGTGAGGTACAAAACTAAAGCACAGAAAGAAAAGCAATAAGGGCAATGGCTTTGAGGCCAAGAGCACCTACATTTAGAGCACAACCACCCCTTCAACCTCTCTATGAATATTTCCAGCCCAAGTCAGAGATGAAGGAAAACGATGAAGCACACCTTCTTCATGTTTATCTTCCTGGTGCGTATATTTTACTTGCTTTTTTTTTTTTTTTTTTTTTTTTTGCATGCCACATTTTTTATGTTTAAATATGCCTATCTTGAACTACATGATTAAAATTTATATTAACTATATAATTAAAATTAACGAAAAAAATTATAAATAAAATTTAAACATAAAATAAGGTTAAAAGAAAATTATAAAAATTTTCATGTCTCAAAAAAAAAAAAATTAACGTGTAAGATTATATTACAATATTAACATGCTATTTACAAAAAATTATATATAAATTGTGTATATAAATTTATATTAAATGTTCATTCAAATATTTACACAAATAAAAAAAATAAAATTGAGTCATATAATTAGTAAGTTTGGATTATTAATCTTTATATTATAATTTATAAGATTATATGTTTTTAATTATTTTATATGAAAATAATTGAGTAAAAATTTCTTTGAAATATTTTGATTATGTATTTTGTTTAAATCAAAAGAAGTTAATTCTAATACTTATTAAATATTTGTGTCAAATAAAAAACTTATAATTATATATCAAATAGGTTACATGGGGAAAATAACTTGAAAAATGTTATTAATTACGACGTGGACGAAAAAGGTTACTTAAATTTTCGCTTTCTTGGCACATAAGTCAAAAGGGAATGTTCATTGCGAGTACCCTTAAAATAACTAAAGTAAAATTTAACTATTGCTAGGTTGTTGAAAAAAAAAAGGATTCTCACGTAGCTGTAATTTAAGACTGTGCATTTAACTATATTGTTTTTAAATTCGGACCATTCATCAATTTTGTTGGTTTGCCGGAAGTCAATGAAAATTGATTCAATTAATAAGTCACGAGTTAATATTAATTTAGTTATAAACTTCTTATATTCCTATCATCTGGTTTAGGGTGAGATTACCATCTAATACAACTGTAGCAATATTTTATATAAAATTCTCTAATTCTGTACCGGTTGAGTCCGATTCATGCATGGTTGAACCAGTTTATACCGATTCGAATGCAAAACCTATTAGATTACTGGACCGAACCAGTTGGTTGTCTGATTTCCGGTTCATTACATCGGACTAGCCGGTAGTCTAATTTTCAATTGAAATAATCGAATCAGCCGGTCCAGTATGGTTTTAATAACATTGATTAGCTCTACTCCTTGATAATTGATAGTTATTTTTTAAAGACATTTGAACTATTTTAAAAATGAATTGAAACTGATACAAGTGGATACAGAATTGTACGACTTAAAATTAATTTATTCAAGTTAAATTTATTTGATTGTTCACACTAATTTAATTAAATTGAAAAATTGTAAATAAATGCAGTTAATGAAGACGGTAAAAAAGTAATTGTGAGTTCTAATAACTCACTTCTTGCCTAATAAAATATGGGTTTAATATTTTTCATGTAGGACACATACGAGGTCATGTAAGAAAAAGAGAGAAAAAACTGTATAGGACCCATATGAGATCATGTAAGGAAAATAGAGAGAAAAAAAAAATATAAGTCCCTACATACTTTTATATGTATATAGAAGATAAAATTATCTCCTATAATATGAGAAATATTAAACCCATAAAATATATCGATATATAAGACTTCTAATTTTTTTATAATTTAAAAAGGAATATAACTCGATACCTGCTACCTAGGAATGATTTTAAAGATTGTTATTTGAAAATATAAAAAAAAAAACCTCATTATTACATTACTAATCAAGGTGATTAACCTAATTGGCATAACATAATCAAATATTGATTTGTAGTTTTAAATGTAGTACATTCTTCCAAAGTGATGTAAGTGCAATCATATCCCAACAACTCTTCTTATTTTAGTTTAAAAAAAAAGTTGATGTAAAATCTTTAGTAGGACACCATGTATCTTTTTTACTCTGTAATTCTAAATACATTTTTGTCCTATAATTTACATTTTTCTGACCAATTCTTATTGACTTGAACCATTACAAGTAAGATCACACAGTTAATGGTTCATCGAAATTAATACATCATTTTATTTTGCGTCATGCAGGTTTTATTAAGGAGAGGATAACGATCAATTTTGTGGGATCTTCCCGAGTGTTGAGGGTTAGAGGAGAACGTTCAATTGATGGTGGCAATAGATGGAGCCGTTTTGAGCAAACATATCCTGTTCCAGAAAATTGTGAGGTTGAGAAACTTGAAGGTAAGTTTGAAAGAGGAATTCTCATTGTTACTATGCCAAAGAAGTTGATTTCACAAGTTACACCTAAAGCAAAAGTAGAAAAAACCCAAGAAAAAGGTCCAAGTCCTTCAAAGAAAGTTGTGACTGAGCCAGAGCCTAAAATAGCCGAGGAAGCCATTCCTCCAAAATCTACAACTACTCCAAGTATTGTGAAAGGCTCAACTGACTTAAAGGGTACTCAAAAAGACACTCCTCTAGCTCAAAATGATAAGGGATTGAGAACTTTGAACCTTTCAGAACCCGTTTTGGAGCCTAGACCTCAAAATGTTAAGGAGGAAACTGCACTAAAAAGTACCACAGTAGCTGCAACCCCAAAAGAACAAAAGGGTATGCCTCAAAAGGGTCAAGAGGAGATTGAGCCAAAACCAACATTAACAATGGATTCAAGGAAGAAAATAAATGAAAACCTTGAAGAGGATATTAGGCAAAAGACCATATTAGCAACAGTGAAAAAGCAATTACATGAAGAGGCTGAGAAGGAAGGTGTCACAAAAAAGGAAGTTAAAGAAGAAGATGAGAAGCCTTATGAGACAAGAAAACCAGAGAAAGTAATGGATCAGAATGTGGTTTTTAAAGGAAAAGAAATCAGGGCAAGAAAAGAGTCACCAAAGGAAGCAAAATATTCTGCTAAAAAGGAGGATGAGATCTACACTATAGGGAAGGGAATCAAAGAACTGGCTGCTTCTTCTTCACGGCTTGTGACAAGTATTGGAGAAGGAAAATTGAATGAACAAGACAAGCCTTTAGTTGCAAATATGGGTGCTGCAATTCTAGTAATTGTAGCACTGGGAACTTATGTAGCCTATAAGCTTGCCTCTTCTGGAAGAACTGAAAACTAGTTCTACTCAAATGATCAATCCTGGGGAACATTTGCACAATGATCTTGAAGTGTAATTGGAATATTGCACTGTGCAAAAGAATGCATCAAAAATATGTAATTGAACACCTTAATTTATTTGTCTTGAAAATAAAATGACTACAAAATTAATGCTAATCACAAGTAGAAAGGAGTATTTAATCTTCACCGATATAAAAAAATATAAATTATTAAAAAAATTACACAAAACTCATTTTGAAAGAAGGGTCAATAGATTTCATCTAACTAATAGATGAAAACACCCTTAATCAAAGTAAAATTCACTCAATAGGAACAAATAACTTCTCATTTTTACCCCCAAAAAAAAAATAACTTTTCATTAACAAGTAATAACCATAAATTTTTTATAATTTCATGTTTATTTGCAAAAAGGCAATAGTTACATAAATTTATGGTTAATTGCTATAAGTATCCCTATGTTTTTTAAAAAAAAAATACCAATCTAACAAATTATGGAAACTAATTATCAATTTAGCATACTTGGACTAAGTTAACCACATAGACCTCGCCAGAATTCCAACTTTACACGTGGCATGACCCAATTCATCCTTGGCCATTTACTCAAGTAATTGGAGAAATAATCAATTTATTCAAACCATTCCAAATGCATGTTTAGCAGAATCAAGGGTATTGGAGAGGAGCATTGATATTGTAATTGGTCCGATACCTCCCGGAACCGGGGTAATGGCTGATGCCACCTTAACTGCCTCTTCAAAACAAACATCTCCTGTGACACAAAAGCCTTGACTGCTGGGATCCTGCAAATTATATAAACTGCATCAAGATAATAATAAGTTCCTAAGGAACTATCCCCACTTCTGTCTTATGTGCTTCCATAGTCCTTTCAGTTTCTTGTTTCCTTTTTCTCTTATTGCTGTATGTAACAAAGTGCATACCAAATGAGGTCCATCCTGGTCACAGTCTTGTGCCTCTCTCCCATATATATCCCACTTATATCTAACAATTCTAATTTTTTAGTTATCTAAGCCATTAGATATAAGTGAACAATAGCCAAGAATGAGTGTAAGACTTTTATACTTCTTATGTATATGTATGTATATATTTTATTTTGGGGACCAAGAGGTGGGAGCATAAAAGTATTTTATAACTAATACTTTGATAAGAACTTTAGGATGCACCACCCCAAAAGCTAGCTCAAAGGGTGAGAGTGCCCAAGGTCTTATAAGCCCCACATTCGTTTTCTATACAACAAATGTGGGACTCCAAATCCCATACATTGCAAATGCATCCTAACATTCCACCATGCTTCGCAGTCCCAGCGCCCACGCAAGTTGGCTTTTGCGCTAGTCTTTTACTAGCCCTGGGCGAACACTGCAATGCCGGCATCACCATCCGTGTCGCTCAATTACAATCGAGAGATATAGTGGAAGGCTCTAATACCATTTGATAAGAACCTTGGGATGCACCACCCCAATAGCTATCTCAAATGGTGGAAGTGCTCAAAGCCTTATAAACCCCACATTCGTTGCCCATACGACCAATGTGAGACTCCAAGTCCCATACCTTGCCAATGGGTCTTAACATTCTCTCACATCTTTTTTTTCACCCATGATGTCTTTCTTCCGTTTTCTTTTGTAACATACGTCCATTTTCCTTAAGCTTGGGGATTGTCAAGTGACTTAAGAAGTTATTCTAGTTTCTAGAAAAAGGAATAACAGCCCCCCAACCCTCCCTCGTTGTCATGTTCAAAAAAGAAGAGCAAATCTGAATATGACAAACAACTACAGAGATTAAAAGGTATTTAATATCAGCGAAAGACCAATATGCTGTTATAGTTGAGAATTAATATGGCAATGATTTCGAGTAGAAGTCTTGGTTAAGAAGCTCAGTCAAATATTCAATTATTTAATCAAGTGAAGGAAAATAGATTTGTAGATTAATGAAGCAATTGATTAGTATTTAGTAGTTTGAGCTATTCTCTCTTAATACACTCTTAGGCATCATACCTTATGTATGTAAGTTTAGTGTCTCTTAACCAAATGTCTTTTCTTAAATTGTCCCTGAAAATTTTCTTAGCAAGCTTCATTCAGCAAAATGACTTTGACATAAACCTATTTAACTTTAACATACTTCTGTTCCTAGGCCTTTCACTTTTGTCTAGAATCAGTTTCATTCTGTACTCCAAAATCATATACTTCTAGCTTCCTGTATGGGCAGCTGGATGCAAAGACATAAAATTGCAAGGTTGAAACAAGGGAAGGGCTGCAGCCAGATGCTAGTAGTGAGAACTAGTGCATCTTTGCATGCCACTTCCACAAGGACATATTTTCTCATAAAAATCATGAAGTGCATTTTCCTACCAAGTTATCATACCCTTAAACGTTACCATAAGGTCTTTTGTTGAGGAAGATATAAAAACAAATACTAACATTGTAAGTAGTGCTTCTCCTGATCAATTATCTGAACTAGGTAGCTTTAAAAGAGGCTGTCAATAAAAAGTTTTATAATTATCAACAGGGCTTGGAAAATCAAGTTTTGTTTCTTCACTAATGCCAGCAACAAGATCTTGACAAATTCACACAGAAACCATGCCAGGACAAATTAGTTAAATTTCACAATGCGCCATGACTCTGAATAATATGTGGATAGGTAGAGAATAATCCTTATTGTACTATATAACTTTGACTAAAAAGGATTTGAAGTGAAAAGGGTATATGAAATATGCAAATCTAACAGACCCATAATAAGAATACAACAAATATAGGAAAATCCTACCCCTTAAAATCTAAAAACTATACAAGCACTCTTCTTACTTCCAAATTATTATATACACACTAAAGCTCTTTTTATTTTAATCTTTAAGTTGAACAACTACTTGGCAAAGTGATTATAGGATCCACTTCCAGATCCGGTGAAAATATATTCACTATTGGCAGCTACAAAAATCAAATTTGAAACAATTTTTGGATGATGTATAATGGATATTCAGTATAGCATCCTGAATTGTTTCCAAGAGTCAAGTTTTTGGTATTAGTTTGTATATATTTTTTGTTTTGGTTGAATTTACTATCTTTATCTCAATAGCTATTGTCTTGTCTATATTCCTTCTTCTATCTTGAGCTTTTTTTTTAAAACTCTGAATACATCTTTGGTAATTCATCAGAAAAGAGCATCAAGTTGCACACCTAAAATATTGAAGAAGAAGTCATTACCTTAACTTGATTTGCTCCCATGTCAATCACCACAGCTCCTTGCTTTAGCCAATTGCCACGAACCATGTTGGGGAATCCAACATCTGCTACCACAATGTCCGCTTCAGAAGTTATTTGTTCAGGGTTTTTTGTGTATGCATGTAACATGCTGACTGTTGCGTGGTGCCTCTACTAAAAAGATGATAAATCAGCCATTTAGCAACTGAAACATTCTGCTCAGCAACAACATTTATGTTACCTGCAAGAGCAAGGAAGTGGGTAACCCCGCGATTTTACTTCTTCCAATTATTACTGCTCTTTTCCCCGTGATTTCCACACCATGCCTAAGTAACAACTCAATGCAGCCCTTGGGAGCACAAGGGATAAAGAAGGGTTTCCTTCCTCTTATGGCTAGGTTTCCCATATTTAAGGGATGAAAGCCATCTACATCCTTTTCAGGACTTACGACATTGATAACTTTTTCCTCGTCCAAATGCTGTATCAAATATGTTAAGAGATATAATATAAGTTATGTTGGAGATACAATATAAACGGGTCAAAAAGCTTTTACCATGGCAAGAGATATAATATAAAATCACTCATGTGCCTTCACCCAAAAGCTTAAGTTAGTGTTAGGTTAAGGCTCATCGACGATTTTATAATATATATCTATCAATGGGGAAAGCTTTGTCAGGAGCTTATATGATGTCTCTAACAAAATATTTTAGAATAAATAAGGTATTAATATCATCTTCCACCACACAGGAACTGCTGAATAAATTAAGTAGTCAAAATGGTGCATAAATTACTTGAGGCAGAGGAAGTTGCACAATAATGCCATGTAAATCAGGGTCATCATTGAATCTGGAAACAGCACCAAGCAGTTCATTTTCAGTACACTTTTCGGGCAACTGAGCAACCACTGTTTCAATGCCAACTTGATCACAGGCTTTCAACTTAATGTGGATGAAAGTGTGAGAGTCCCTCCTATCCCCAACCAAAACCACACCCAATCTAGGAAACTTCCCCATGCAACTCTTTATCCTGCTTATCTCATCAGCTACTTTAAATTTTATCTGTTTGGCAATTGATTTTCCCTCAAGGATTGCAGCATTATGGCCATTAGCACCTAAAACATTACAAACAACCAAAAAGAAACAAAAACCCATTAACATAAAATGATCAAAGCAGAGGTTCCATACCATCATTGAACTTGAAATTTACATCATAGAACTTACATTATGGCCATTAGCCCCAAAAGCATTACAAACGATCAAAAAGAAGCAAAACCCATTAACATAAAATGATCAAAGCAAAGGTTTCATACCATCATAGAACTTGAAATTTACATCATAGAACTTGCTTTATGGCCATTAGCCCATATAGCATTACAAATAACCAAAAAGAAGCAAAACCCATTAACATAAAATAATCAAAGCAAGGTGTCATACCATCATATAATTTGAAATTTACATCATAGAACTTACATTGTAGCCATTAGCCCCTAAAACATCATTACAAACAACCAAAAAGAAGCAAAACCCATTAAATAAAATGACCAAAGCAGAGGTTTCAGATAATCATAGAACTTACATTGGAGACTTTCTTGGAAATGGTTATAAGGGAAAGTGTTCTCTCTGAGTACCCAAACATCAGGACGGTTGGGACCAAGGAGAGCACAAGAAGAAGATGCAGCAGAAAAAGAATGTGATGTTTTTTTCAGAGTTCTATTCCAAGCAGCCACCACCCCAGTAGTGGCACAAGCTCTCATGTTTGTGTTAATTTGTGATTATGAAAGTGGAGAGATGGAAGCCAACACCAAAAATATGAATGTTGGTTTTGGTGGTTATTGTTTGAGGAAAACGTTGATAACCTTAGTCCAATGAGCTTTGTTTTGATGGTTCCAACAAGATAAATCTTGTTCCGAGTTTGATATTGGATTTGAGGACCTCGACTAAGGGTGCGTTTTGTATTGGATTTATAAGAAAGCCCTTTTTTATTATTTCTTTATTTTAAAAATATTTTTTATAAAAGTTACACCTAGATTTTTAAAAAAATTATTTGATTTTTGAAAAAAATATTTGACTTTTAACTTCTGCTTTTTTTAAAAATTAAAATTTTTAGCTTTCGAAAAAAATAAGTTTTTGACTTTTTTTATGACTTCTGCTTTTTTTAAAAGCTGACATCCAAATAATCTTTTTTTGAAAAGTGCTTTTTTTCTTAAAAACAAAAATAACTTTTGAAGAAAAAAAAAAAGACTCGTTCAAACGGACTCTAGATGCATTGACTTATATTCCACGTGTTCATGGTTCTGCCACGCCACCGACTAACTAAATAATATTAAAGAGAAAAATGCACCTGAAAATCAATAAGGAAAACAGAAATAACAAAAATCCAAATTATACTTTATCTATCTTAGACTTCAATATATATTATTTTATTAATTATTAATTTAGACTTGTTTTTAAAATTTAAATTTGTATTTTCTTGTATTATGATTAATTTTATATAAACTTATACTTTAAATATTTTGATGAATGAGTTAAAACCTATGTTGATAGTTTTTTTTTTTTTTTTTGATAAAGTTGGATTTTTTTTGACGAACTTTTATATTAAAAAATTATAAATAAAAATTGAAAGGAGGTGAAATCAAAACTGATTTAGACTAAATTGGATTGATCGATTTTATGTTTTGAAGCAAAACAAGTGGATGATACTACAAAACAAAATTAAATTAATTCTTTCATTTATTAGATTTCAAACTTAATTCTATATTATTTCAAACTTATTATTTAGATCACTAAAATATTATATAAATTCAAATACACAAAACATATATAGTTGTTTTATGAAATAAAGTTTGATATCGATCCTATCACATCTTCAGCGGATCAAGCATTGAACCCCCCAAAATTCGCAATAGGTCAAAAATTCAATTACTCATAGGTGAATTCTATAAATAAAAAATAAAGCTTAGAAATACACACATTTACTCTCTATTAGTTGTTATTGTACCCACACCCCACGTCCTGACAACGTCGTTATTGTAATGCACAATGAGCTACTTATCTTCAAAGGTATCTCCCTCATAGATACTTAAAAGAGCATATAAATCCTATAGAAACTCACCAGTCTCCAAGTGGACATCTTAATCCTTAGGATCGAACACATGCTAATAAAATATTAATTTGCTGAATTCTTTTGAATTCAGTACCACCTGTAGTCCTGAATGTAGAATCTGGGATGCTTAAATTTCTAACTTTTCAAGCTTCATCATGATTATAAGACCCAGGATACTTGAACCTAAATACATATTTGTGCGTGCACGTTCATGGGTAATTGTACCACCCCGTGTACATTGGTGTTTGAACTCATTATGGTATTAAGTGCAACAAAATAAATAAATAAAAACATTAAGAAGGTTGCTTTACTTTATAACTTATACTTATGACTTAATCAAGTATTCTTATATAGAAATGTGAATTAATTTTTTTCTTTCTTAAACATGCTATTTAACTCTACTAATTACGTTTAGACTCTAAGTTGTTCATATAAAATAGATACATCTAGCTATCCAAAAGTTTAGCATACAATATCCATCCATGGATACATCAATTTTGGCCATCACAAATACATCACATGTATAATACCTCATATATTTGAATTGCATTATTAATAATTAAATTATGGTATAAAGGGTTTAATTAGTGAAAATCCTGAGTTTTAGGTCAAAATACCCATCAGGGGTAAAATGATAAATTGACAGGTAAATAACCCTAGCCTATGAATTGGTAAAACTAAATATTATTTGATTAAAATAATGATGGAATTGGATTCATAACGAAATTTGGAGTGGATACGCACTTTGTAAGAAAATTGATGAATAGTGATTTTTACCGAGTAAAATACTGTGGTACAATTCTACTGGGAAACTCAGAAATGAGATTACTTCTCTAGGATTGGATATATGTTGAAAGAGGTATTTAGAATCAAGAAAAATGATTATCGAAATTATTCGGTGAAATTTGGTGGTTTTTGGAAAAACATGCCGAAAGTACACAACTAGGTGTAAAACCATAATTTCATCAAATTACCGAAAAACTTTAGATTCATCTGTTAAGGTAAATTTAATGAACTTTGGTGAATGTCAAAATTTTGATGAAATGATTGATTCATGAGTTAATTAGAGATTAGTAGTATAAGTGATTAAGTTTAAGTGGAAAGTGCACTTGCGGGACCTACCTCACTTAAGTGAGTGTTAGAGAACATGTCCCAAATAACTTGAACTCATCTCCTTCTCTTCTTTCCAGCTGAAACCTGCGACCTCCATTGTTGGTAGGGCTTAGAAGAGCTTGAAATTTCATTTCCTTTTTAGACACTTTTAAGTGAAAGTTTGAACATCAAAGTTCCTCACAAACACCTAGTGAGTAACTTCCAAGTTGTAAGTTTCCGTTGAAAGTCATTGAGTGAGGAGATCCTTCTTGGAGGAGGGGTGGTGGTTTTGAGCCCAAGAGGGCCATTGGTGGTGGTGGTGGTTTGGCTTGATTAAACACTTGAAGAACACTCCCTTGGACCTTAGAAACTCATTGATGGTAAGCATTTCATCTTTCCTTGGAGTTTACATATGGATCAAAAATTTATGTCTATGTGTATGCGATATGTGATTGGGATTGTTGGAGACTTTGTATGATGGTGTCTCTTTGGAATTAATTCATTGGATCAGTGTCTTGTTGATGAAAATGCAACAAAATTTTAAGTGAATTTGTCTTGACATTTAGAAGAAATTTCATGAAGTAAAAGTAGTGATGACTCGTGAAAGAAATTATTGATGGATGGTGTAATTGGATTTGGGGTTTTTTGAATCACAAAATGGTAGATTTATATAAGAGTTTAAAGCATGAAAATTGAATGAAAAACCCATTGATCTTCACCATGCATACCCTCGGCCATGTGTAGTTTTTAGGGAACAATGTTGTAAAATTTTGTGTTGGCTTGATGAAGGGTGTGTTGGTGACTTGAATGGTAAAGCTTAATGAAGGTTAATGGTGTTAGAAAACAATCAAAACTCCCTTGGCCTTGGTGTTGTTGCCTCTCGGTCATACAAGGGAATTTGGGAAAATTTGTGTGAAAAATTGTGATGACTTGAAAGAGTGGCGTGTTGGAAAAATTTTGAGGTAGCATGGAGTGGTTAGAGATCAAGTGAACTATAAGGATGATTGAAAGGAATTAAGAATCAAATGTGACACTTTTTGTAATACTTTGTTACCATACCAGTGTGTTATCATTAATTACGATATTAAGCGTAGTTACAATCACAACAGTTCATTTAAAAATATGGAAAAACTTTTTCTTTTTTAAAAATCGTTTACAATTAATCTTGTACTTATGAAAACATCCATATAAAAAAATTTGCAAATTGTGATCTAACTAAAAACTAATGCGAAAATATAAATGTTAATGCTTAACTATCATACAACACCTATCTAGGGTTACTATGTGGTTCCGCTAAACCAACAAAGCAAAGATACTAAATGTCACATTTTCAAAACCATAGTATATCTCATTTTAAATAGAAGTGGGCGTGATCCACTAACTAATTAATTTCCCATCTTTTAGCATATTAAACTAGACTCTCTAAGCTTTCCAATAAGGTATCGCGTGCCTCAATCAATGTTTTGTCCACTATAAGTTGATCCTCTAAAACACAACTCTACGGGTTCACTAACATCCCCCACATTTTTTAGAATTTCGGATGATACGCTAACTGTATTACACTGACATTTGTATAAAATATACTAGACACCCAGACCTTCAATTTGGTATATCATAAGCCTAATTTGAATAAGAAATGAGGGAGAAAATCATTTTTGAAGTCCAGACCTGAATATAGGTCCAAATGGCAGTTTTGGGCAGTCATCACTCATTTCAACATATATAGGGATTTCTATAACTCAAAATGACACCAAATTTTAGGACAGTATGACATCCTAGGCTTCAAAATAAGGTATGACACGCCTCAATTGGACATTTATGGAGGGAGATATGGTCTCCTAAACTTAGGTAAAATTTGACCAATTTCTTGGAAATTTCGACGGTACCTCATTTGTTTTATTACTAATCCCACTTATACAAGTGTGTTCCAGTTTCTTATAAGGGTACCTAATTGACCGTAGGGTGGCACATAAAGGCTCAACAAATCTTGGTGCTCTTACAACCCGCGATATACAACAATTAAGATCATTACTTAATCTCCAAGGTATTATCCATAATTACTATGTTACAAGTTACTATCCATTTTAATCACATTATTCTATTTTCTTGAATTCACCATAATACAATAACATCATTACTATAACAACCCTCATTAGTAAAATACGAAAAAGAAATTAATTAGGTTTTTAATTAGATGAAATACTTATTTAATTAAAATTATAAGAGATAAAATTATTTGATTAAGATTATAATTAATAAAATGTTATAGGTTATGTCAAATATATTTAATAAGACTCAATAATAATTATTAGATACAATTAAGAATATGAATATTATATGAAGCACGTTTGGGTTTATTTTATAGTAGGCCTAAATATGATTTAGGTTGAACAATTAATTAGTATTAGGAAAATTAGTAGATTCAAGTATCTCTAATTTAATTAATTGATGTTTGGATTAATATGTATGATTAAAGAATATATAGTTTTTTTTATGATAATAAATAATATTGGTAAAATTGAGTACTTGGATACCCATAAATAACCAAATTAATTCATAGGCTTGTTGGTTACAATTCCAAGTTGTTATGCACTGTTAAGGCTTCTTTGGCTCATCTCTTCTTGTT